ATGGGACTGGGATGGGGACTGGGATGGAAATGGGAATGGGAACAGGGATGGGGACTGGGATGAGAATGGGGATGGAAAAGGAGATGGGCTCAGGGATAGGGACAGGATGGAGACCCAGCATGGGGATGGAGATGGGAAGAGGGACTGGGATGGGGATGGGGACTGGGATGGGACAAGGATGGGCACGGGGTGGCACTGCCAGAGCTCACGGTGCCCAGCGGCTCCTCCAGGCAGAAGCAGCGGGTGAACACCCTGCCCTCGGGCTGCGGCACCATCTCAATCAGGTTGCTGCTCTGCATCAGCTCCGCTTGCCGGCGGGTCTTGGGTGTTTCCGTCTGGCACTGCAGGGACACAGAAGGGTCAGAGAGAGGCGTGGGGACAGGCAGCACGAGGCGGTGACACAAAGGGGACAGACATTGCACCTCAGTTTCCCCTGTGGGGAAAACTCCAAGCATGCACAGGGCCAGGGTTGGGATGGGGGCACTCAGGGACACTCATTGGCACTCAGTGGCATTCAGGGTGCTCAGAGGCACTCAGTGGCACTCATGGTCACTCAAGGGTCACTCACCCCGCTGGCCGAGATCTCGCAGCACCCCTCCTGCCTGGCCAGCTCGGCGTCGCAGTAGATCTGAGCTTGCTGGAGGTCAAACTGCAGCAGGACATCGGTGACAGGTCAGGGGTGGCCCTGACGCCGCGGGCCGAGCCAGGGACACTCATTGGCACTCAGGGGCACTCATTGGCACTCAGGGGCACTGACCCTGGGGCACGCATTGGCACTCAGGGGCACTCATTGGCACTCAGGGGCACCGACGCCAGGGCATTCATTGGCACTCAGGGACACTCATTGGCACTCAGGGGCACTGACACTGGAGCACTCATTGGCACTCGGGTGCTCAGTGGCACTCAGGGGCACTGACCCCAGGGCACTCAGTGGCACTGAGGGGCACCGACCCCAGGGTACTCATTGGCACTCAGTGACACTCATTGTCACTCAGGGGCACTCAGGGGCACTCACTGGCACTCATTGGAGCTCAGGGGCACCAAACCCGGGGCACTCAGTGACACTCATTGGCACTCAGGGGCACTCGGGGGCACTCACTGGCACTCGTTGGCGCTCAGGGGCACCGATTCCGGGGCACTCAGTGGCACTCATTGGCACTCAGGGGCACTCATTGTCACTCATTGGCACCCATTGGCACTCATGGGCACCGACCCCTGTGACTCACCCTGACCGGGGTGCCACGCACGGCGTCCAGCNTGGCGCTGCTGCCTCCCGCACGTGAAGCGCTCCCCCAGCTCTGTTTTGCCCGCAGACAGCCCCGCGGCTGCGATCAGCATCAGGAGCCTGGGCCGGCTGCCAGGGACACCCACAGCGCCATCGACATCTGTCCCTTCCTGCCCCTTCCCGAGCCGGTGGCCCTCGGGGACAGGCGCGAGGGTCCAGCCCGAGGCCGAGGAGCAGGAAATGCCGTGTCAGGGGCGGTCAGGGGGGTGCTGCTGCTGCTTGCAGGGATAAATCACGGCCCCGGCAGCACTGAGCCACCTCCAGATGCGCCAGATGTTGGGAGGTGCGAGATAAAGGAGTAAACAAGGGAGAAGGGAAGGATTTGTTTTGTCTCCATGCAAAGCGGCCCTGGAGCAGGATGGGCACGGAAGATTCTCCCACCTCTTCCTTGGATGTTCCTGGGGGTCTCTGAGCCCCCCCAGACCCTCCCCACCTCTGTCAAGAGCTTGGCACCACCGTGTTTGCAGCCCAGGCTGAGCAGGGGCCAGCAGTGGTGTGGGGACATGCCTGGGCCAATGTCACAGCAGTGAATGTCACAGCCAGGGCAGTGTCCCCTCACCCCCGGCAGGGCAGGGGACACCAAGGAGCGTAAATCACCCCAGTGCCACCCCTCTGGAGCCTCTCCCAGCTCTGGGAAGGGAAAATCTTGCCTTCTGTCTCTCAGGAAAGGCCGTGCCGGGCAGCAGGAGTGGGTGACAATGACAGTGACAATGTCCCCTCCCGCCTGATGCAACCCCGGTGTCAGTGTCGCTTCCAGCAGCTCCTCCCCTGGAGCCCGGGGCTCATCCCACACCGGGACCCATCTCTGTTCCTTGTCCCTGTTTCCATCCCTGTTCTCCCATTCCTGTTCCCTATTCCTATCCCTGTTCCTTGTCCCTGTTTCCACCCTGTTCCCCCATCCCTGTTCCTTGTCCCTGTCCCCATCCCCGTTCCCCCATCCCTTTTCCCATCCTCATTTCCCCATCCCTGTCCCCATCCCCGTCCCTGTTCCCATCCTCAGCCATTGTCCCCCTGTCCCCAGCTGCACCTGGACACCTCCCAGCCCTCCACCATGGTGTGGATCATGGCCAAACCCCCATCGGGAGCTCTGTGCATCCTCACCCTGCCCTGTCCTGGCTCACCTGACCTGTCCTGGCTCACCTGCCCTGCCCGGACCCGGGTCCAGCCGCACTGCCCTGGCTGTCACAGAGTGTCACCAAACCCCATCTGTCCCCATGCCAGGGCTCTGGGGGCTGTGTTGGGGTGTCCCAGGCTGGCTCCCCACAGTCGGGCTGGCTCAGCTCTGCTCTCCCTGGTCCCCTGCCCGCGGGGGATGCTGAGCAAAGCCCTGGAGCTCACTCTGGATCCACCACTCTGGTCCTGACACAGCTCATGGTGTCTGTCACCTCTGATCTGCCCCCCCTGTGACAGGGACAGATGAGGACGGAGGTGGCTCCCAAGCCCTCCCCTCGGTGCTCCTTACCTTCTGTTGGCAGCGGCTCCTTCCCCTGGCAGGCACTGATGAGCCCGGTGAGCACCAGGGCCCAGAGACCCCTCATGGTGCCCCTGGCAGAGGCTCAGAGCCCTCAGGGCCACCTGCAAGGGACAGACCCTGAGATGGGCACCTGGTTGCCCACACCAGTAAAGCCACCAGCATGGAGTGGCACTGACCCTCCTGGCCATGGCTCAGTGATGTTTAAGGGGTCAGAGTGCCCCCCATCCATCTGCTCCACACCCACCCCAAGCCTCAGCATCCCAACATCCCTGGGTGTCAAAGGCCAGCACCCAAATTTACTCCAAACATTCAGAAATGCAATGATTGAAGTTTTCCCCAGAGTGGAACCGGGTGCACCCACCCGGGAAGGGCTCAGCACCTCCCGTTCCATCCCCGGTCCCGTGTGGATCCCGGGAGATGAAATCAGGTCGGGGTATCCCTGCAGGTC